TTGACCGGAATCGAACCTGGGACCCTTGAGTCCACAGGCCGACGCTCTATCCACTGAGCCAATCCGGTTAGGGCAATCTTACTTATATTTCACTTGTAGGTGTAGACAGTGCTTAGAAGTTAGTGTTAATAAAGCAACAAATAAGAAAAACAAACAAACAAAAACTCATAGACACAGACAACAGTATGGTGGTTACCATAGGGAAGGAGCATGGGGGTGGGGGTAGTAAAGAGTAAAAGGGGTTAAATATATGGTAACAGAGAAGATTTGACTTTGGGTGGTGGGCACACAATGCAATATACAGATGATGTATCATAGTTTTGTACACTTGAAACCTTTATAATTTTTTAACCAAATGTTAAAACCCCAATAAATAAATAAAAAGAAATTAGTGTTAATAAATGGAGTAAAATTATAGATTGTGACTTGGTGGTGTATATATAAAAAAACTTAACTGTGTGCTTTTAAATTGGCCTAGCTAAGCATTTGGTTATAAATTCTTAGAGCCAAAATATTGAATGTAGTACTATTTATGTAGTACTCAGTGGAGATGCTAGTTTGAATATAATTTGAACCTGGTATTCATACCAACTAAGTGAAAATCACCTAGTAAATGTTTTCATTAGTTTAAAATAGGCCACATGTGCTTTTAGAAGGTTTACAAACGGTGGCATAATAACATTTACTGAATGCCTTTTTACCTAACACAGGTTCTACTTTACTTTCCCATTTTTGTAAAAGACAAGCACTTTTTGTCCTTATATGTGGAGGGAAGTATAAAATTGCGCTTTCAAGCCAAGGGATATAAAAATAAAATTACTTAGAATAAGCAAAAATCACTGAAAACAGTGATTTAATTGATCCATTCAAACTACTTAAAATTGAGAGCTGGTATCCCATCCAGGTAGGCCACTTTTTAAAAGACAGAATTTATGTTTAGCTCTTAAAGTTTTGGAACTGTATTGTTCTTTCATTAGATGTCTCAAAACTTGAAAAGCTGCCTTGACATAGCACAGTGATGCTCTTTTGTGGTACGGGCAGGGAATTTCAGGCATGTCCTTGCCACCCCCAAGCAAAGGAGAGCTGTAGTCGCTGGTTGCCTGTGGTGAGGGAACTGAGTTAAAGGGTTCCCATTTATCTTATGGATTTGTAGGGATTATTCATTCATACATCTAACATTTATTCAACTCTGCCATGTACCAGAGGCATTTGAAGTTACCTAATTTCTGCCCCTCAGGAAGTTTGAAGTTGAGATAAGAAATAAGTGCAGCGCCCTAACCGGTTTGGCTCAGTGGATAGAGCGTCGGCCTGCGGACTGAAGGGTCCCAGGTTTGATTCTGGTCAAGGGCACATGCCCAGGTTGCAGGCAAATCCCCAGTTGGGGGTGTGCAGGAGGCAGCTGATCGATGTTTCTCTCTCATCGATGTTTCTAACTCTATTCCTCTCCTTTCCTCTCTGTAAACAAACAAAAAAAAATCAATAAAAAAAAATATATTTTTAAAAATAAGTGCAGCAAAGGGCTCTAATAATACGACTCTAAGAGGACACAGCATAAAGGAAGGAGAAGTTTATAGAAGAACATAGTGGGGATCAGAGGTTGAGGATGGCCAGGAAAAAGTTGATGGAGAAGTTGACGCTTGAGTTGAGCCTTCCCCTAAGAAGGGAACGCTGCTACCAGTAAAGACACACAGTGAGAGGCATTAAGAAGGTAGTCTGCCCAGCGAGGGTAGAGTACAAATGAGGACTTTGTGGTCAGACAGATACAGGTTTGTTTCTGGCCAGTGGTTTAACCCCTAGGCAAGTTACTCACCTTGCTAAACCTTAGTCTCCTCATCTGTAAAACCAGGATAATAATAATGCCTCCCTCAAAGGTTGTTATTCATTTGATAGTTTATGTGCTGGGTACTTTTTAGGTACTGGCCTATAGCAGTAAACAGCAACAATAACAAAACAAGAAAAAAAAAAAAAACCAAAAAAAAAAAAAAAAAAGTGCGAATGAGAAAGGTAGGACTGGGCCATGAAGATGTGCCTTGAGTTAACAAAGACATTCTCAGAATAGCCAGGATAACACATTGTTAAAAGGCTCCATTTTACTTGATAAGAATAAGAATTGTTTTAGGTTGAACAGGTTAAGAATGAGTTTGCATTTCTTGGATGCAAACACCTTTTTTCTAATCTTGTTTTCCTGTTTTTCTATCATCTCTGGTCTAGGCCAACTTTTTTATCCTTAAATTTTGCATTTAGTTTCCCCTACCTCTGACTTCTCCTCTTCACACTTACTACTCAGAACCTTAACACTTGCTATTAACACTGTGCTTGTAGTTTTGGCTAGTGTTTGTTGGCACTGATATTAAGATATGCAGAGATAATACAGATTGTAAGCATAAAGGGTGACTACTTACCTGTCAGATATTATATGTTGAATTTACTATATCCTGTTTGCTAGAAATAGGATTTATCCAGAAAGCTTCTAGAATTTATATTTTTAGGGCAATAAAATTGGTTAAATGAACATGAACTAGACTATACATCAAAAAGTGTTCCAGATGAGGTTAGGGAAGACAGTATAGTGTCCAGGTTAGGGTTTGATATTTGAGAAAAGATCAATATTTTTAAAAGTCTCATTGGAATATTGTTGGGAAATCATCATTTATTGCCTAAATATGGTACTTAAAGTATTGCTATTGAATATACTGAAAAGAAAATGGTTAAGTGTATAGAGGAAGTAGATTGGCATGAAAGTTAACTTCAAAATTGAAAATAATTTTTGTATCTAGAATGGTTTGAGATTTTGAATGTCATATATGATATTGCTTGTTAGGGGACATGTAAATAAATAATGCTGACATTATTATGCTGCTAAATTAAGCTAGCTTAGATTCCTACACTGCCACTTTCTTTGTATGTTGGACAAGTTGAGAGTTTCCTAGGGAAAACATAACAACTAGTGTCAGAACAGCTGTATTTCTGCGTTTTTGTTGTTGTTGTTTAACTAGCCTCTTTATGTTTTACTTGAATGCTTAGACGTGTTTGTATGAGAAGCTATGTCTTTGCAATCAGATTATTTATTATAGAGTTCCCTTCATGTTAAAATATGCCCTTTAAGTTATTATCAAAATACAAGAAGTTTATTGATTCTAATTCAGAGTAATTATGAAAATTCTAAGAATACTTTTAGAAACCATAACCAGGCTTTAATTTAGATCTCAACTGATGACTTGGTAACTTCAGCCTGTACAGTTTGTGTTGTGTAATCCTTCCAGGATAAAAGTTACTTTACTTTGTGATCAAATGTGTGTCTTTGTACTTGTAGATAAGATATGAGTACACCCAGTGGCTATAGAACAGTGGTCATTCAAAGAATCCATCACTTTCCTTAGCTAGGTTAGCACACTATCCTAACTGAACAACAATAATGTTGCTTGCTTACATTTTCCACTAAAATGCCTTGCATTTTTATGAGGATTTTGAAATTATCTGTGCATTTTTATCTGCATTTTCTCCTCTGACCTTTACACCGTCCTTTGAAGTGGCGGGCTGTTTTATCTTTGTTTTACAGAGGATTACACTGAAGTTCATTGAAGTTAGGTGAGTTACCAAAGGTATCAGAATTTCTCTTGATTTTTAAAGGAAAAATTTTAATGTTTCCTTTGGACAAGAGGAAAAATCTTACCTGGAATTTAAAAAGTTGTAAAGTCTCATCTTCCAGATGAGAAATCAATGACCCAGAGAGGTTAAAGTGGCATGTTTAAGGTCACCTAATTAGTGGTGGAACTTGGACTACAACCCAGTGCAGAGCTTTCTCCCTTGTACCGTGCTGCCTATAGTCAGTCAGTCAGATCTTTTAGCACCTCCTATGCATCATCATGTTGCAGTGTGCTCTTAAGAAAACTGTGTGCTAAAGAAGTTGAAGGTGGTCCCTGGTATCCAAAACTTAGACTGACATAGGCGAAGAGAAAAATGCCACATAGAGAGTAACTGCGAAAATGTGTAGTACTCACTCTTCAAGAGTTCTCTGAAGAGCCTGATAAGTTGGGAGACAGGAGTTGAATATGGCTTCATGGGGAAAGGATCGTTTGATCTGAGATGTGAAGGGCAGGTTGCTGCTCTATATGGAAGGCCATCCAGTTGAGGGGCTAACTTGAGCAAAAACCAAAGTGAGTATAGCATGTGGTAGGAAGTGAGATAGGAATGGACTTGGGGATAGAAAATAAAGCTGGGTTAGGTAGGTAAATTGGAGCCAGATTATGCAAGGCCTGAAAGCCAGCCAGAGGAATTTGGGCCTTTTTCATTCTGTCAGTCAACATTTATTTTATTAAGTACCTATTGCAAACAAGGTGCTGTGGTAAATGCTGGGAATTCAAAATTGGGAGTAATCCCTGCCCTTTAGGCTAGTAAGGAAACAGTTAGAGCAGGTTGTGTAAGTGCTTTAAAAGAGGTGAGAACATGATGCCCTGGAAGCAGAGATAGAAGCTCAAAGGAGACAGCTTGTCAAAGCCAAGAAAGTGATAAGTATCTGGTGTGTTGAGAGAAGTAAGCATGGTAAAGTATGGTGTGTACCTGGAAGCAGAGATAGAAGCTCAAAGGAGACAGCTTGTCAAAGCTAAGAAAGTGATAAGTATCTGGTGTGTTGAGAGAGGTAAGCATGGTAAAGTATGGTAAGTGTGTACCTGGAGAGCGGGCTGGAAAGGTGGACAGAAGCCAAATCACCAAGGGCCTTGTAGGCAGTGCCAAGCAGTGGTCTCTAAGTGGGGTGTATAGAGGGTGGGGCAAAAGTAGGTTTACAGTTGGTGAGTATGTGAAACAGTTTATTGTATTATTATTTATTAATTTCTACACAAACAACTGTAAACCTACTTTTGCCCCACCCTCTATACACCCCACTTAGAGACCACTGCTTGGCACTGCCTACAAGGCCCTTGGTGATTTGGCTTCTGTCCACCTTTCCAGCCCGCTCTCCAGGTACACGCTATTACACATTCAACATACAAGTGATGTCTTGAGGGGAAGAGTGGAAACTTCACAAAGCAGAGGAACTGATAGTGGTGACCTTACTAATTTGTCTGCTATTATCATATTGCAGTTTACTTGCGTCTGATTGAGTGGATTTACTTTATATTATCTGCTTTTAACTAAGTCTTCACACCATGAACAAGTGGCTTAAAGATTTGTACAAAGAAACCATGGATTGAAGATAATTCTAACACAACAAACAATAAAGCGGTAGAGCTGTCATTTCTCCTAGTAGGAGCTCTTTGTCACATTTCAAGGTAATCATATCTGTCTAGAAGTCAGCCTAAAAAATGAATTTGCCAAATAGACTGTGTGAAATGTGGATTAACACATTATCATTAATCACTTCACCCTGAGAATATTGTACTTTGAGACATATAGTAGCTAATGATAGTATGAGTTCATCAGAGATATGTTTGTGTACTTATTTCATCTTTATCTCATTCTTTCTTGAATTCTATACTCTATAGGTTTTATAATATACATTACATACCTCAATGAATATTCATAGATTGAGGGTATAGACTCACATTTTTACTGAAGGGTATGTACTGTTAAAAGTTTTAGGCCTGGGGAGCCACTCAGGCTTTAAAGTGCTTTAAGTGAGAAAGTGCTTTAAATGAGGGTGCACTGTCTTAAAAAGTTTAGAGTGGCAGAGGGAGTGTAGGAGTTCAAGACGTGAGTAAGAAAAAGCAGTTAGAAGGCTGTTGTGACACCATAAGGATAGTGACACTAGATAAGACAGTATGAAACTGAAAAATATTAAGGACATAGAAACAGCAGGTCTAAATGATCAGTTTGAAGCCCTGGCCAGTGTGACTCAGTTGGTTGGAGCGTCATCCCATAAATTTTCCTGGCCAGGGCACATGCCTAGGTTGCAGTTCAATCCCCGGTCCGGCATAAGGCAGCCAGTCAATATTTCTTTCTCTCTCACTCTTCCCTCTCTCTAAAATCAATAAACGTATCCTTGGGTTCGGATTTAAAACAAACAAAAAAATAAAAAATAGTTTGTTTGGAGGCTGAAGGAGAGAGAAAAGTGGAGGATAACTCCTAGATTTCTGGCTGGGGAAACTGGATAGCTATGAAACCAATATGAACAGTGGAAGAACTAGTTTTTTGGGTGAAGATAAGAAGTTTGATTTGGGACATGTTAAGTCTGAGTAACCTGTGTGACCTCCTGGTGCAGAAGGCCAGTAGTTGGTTTGAAGTACAGGTGTGTAGTCAGGAGAAATGTCAGAGCTGAGCTGAAGATTTAAGATGTCAGGGTAGAGGTGGTAATTGATGCCGTGTGTGGATGTAATCATCCAGAGAGTGCAAATTAAAAAGAAAGTAGAACCAGGATGGAAACCCGCAGAACCCTTCCATTTCAAGTGAAAATGGAGAAAAAAGAAGCAGGAAACATAGTCCAGGATGTAGGGAGAGAGTCTGGAGAAATGGTGCAGTGGAAGTCAGTGAGGCAGGAGTTTCAAAAGGAGGGGTGACCAGCATCTTCAGATGCTACAAAGAAGCCAAGAAAGTCAAGAACGAAAAAGTAGTCAGTTGGGTTTGGTAATCAGAGAACAAGGTGTTAGAGTTCTCATAAAAGCAGTTTCAGCAGAGTGACAGGAGCAGAAGGTAGTGAGTAGACTGTACCTTTTTAAAGCTTCTCAGAAAAATAAAACAAAAGAAGCAAAGATGGTAACTAGAGTTGAATGAAGTGTCCAAGGAAGATTTTACTTTTGTGGTGGTTTGTTTTTTATTTTGTTTTAAATGGGAAAAGAAGAGATAGAAGGGAAGGGAACTGATGCAATCCATTTTTGAGCCAGGAAGTGACAGGATGGGAACAGAATTTTGGTTGGCAGCAGTGGATACATTGGATGCAGTGCAAGGAGGAAGGACCAAAGGTAGGAACACTGCAGCTGTTGCAATAAAATGCAATCCAAACCAGAGGCGATAACCATTGAAGGGGGTGGAGGTAGTAACGGTGGGACTGGGAATAGAGAGGAAGATTCCATTCAAGAAACATTTTTTAAAAATTTATTTTGAGAGAGAGGGGGAGGGGTAGGGAGGGAGGGAGGGAGATAGATAGGAGGAAGGACCAAAGGTAGGAACACTGCAGCTGTTGCAATAAAATGCAATCCAAACCAGAGGCGATAACCATTGAAGGGGGTGGAGGTAGTAACGGTGGGACTGGGAATAGAGAGGAAGATTCCATTCAAGAAACATTTTTTAAAAATTTATTTTGAGAGAGAGGGGGAGGGGTAGGGAGGGAGGGAGAGAGAGAGATTGAGATTTCTTGTTCACTTATTTAAGCATTCATTGGGTGCTTCTTGTATGGCCCTGACAGCAATTGAACCCACAAACTTGGCGTATGGGACAATGCTCTAACCAACTGCGTTACCTGGCCAGGGCCTCAAGAAACATTTTAAAGGAGGCGATTCTACCATGCCACAGTAGAATCCACGAGGGACATTTTCCCTCCCGGACAGTCTCCTTCGACTTCCCCCACCCCCACAGATTTGATACTTGTAGAGAATCTCTGGCAGTTAACCTCTGTTGGTAGCACAGGCATTGGATCCCTCAGGGACACTGGGGTGGAAAATTGAAAGCCAGTTTCAAAGAAAGAAATGACAGGATGTGGGGCCAGACTGGATATAGTGAATTAGCCCTGAGATTTCTATCTAGGGACACTAGAAGATTGGTTATTACCAGTGGAAGGCGGGGGAATGGAAAAATGGGGAGGGTGTTAAGCTTATACTATTCAGCTTTGTTATAAACCACTTAGGCAGTGTAACTCTGTGGCTGTGGGGACTGAGAAGAAAAACTTTAGGGTCACAAAGCATGAAAACATAGTCTTCCTTTAAAGGGTTTGTGTGTTATTTCTCTAAATTAGAGAAATGGGCTTTGACTTTTCCTCTGGAGAAATTATGTTATGTTCAGGTGAGTTTAAAATTTTGTGTCTGGAGAAATACAGTTGATTTAGTTACTCTAAGTATTGTTCTAAGGAAAATACACTGATTCCCTTATCAAATTTATGTTCAAATTTAGTTTAAAAACAAAACTCGTGAAATAATTGTGTATATGAACAAAGGGCCAGTGTTTATGGTGTCCATAGATTTGCCTTTTGGAAAGAGTAAAAGAGTTACAAAACTCAAATCTGGTTTCATTTCTGTGACCTGGCTCCTGAGACATTGCTAAAATGCTTTGACATATAACTAGGTACGAATATGTGAAGTGCAGATATTTTTAAATTCCTTTGGCTTTTCTGCAACATTTTTTCTTTCTACCGTCTTCTGATCCTCTTGTTTTTGAATTTGCAAATTATTTTAAATGCTTTATGAAAAGTAAACTGAATGGGAGAGATGAGAACGTTGAGTCCTGTTTTTCCATTTAACTAATCTGTCATTTGTGTAAAATGTTACACCTCACACTTGGAAAATGGGAAGCTTTAATTGTTCATTGAAAGAGACTCAGGTTCTGGCTGGGTTGCTCAGTTGGTTGGAGTGCCATCCTATACACCAGAAGGTTGCAGGTTCAATTCCTTGTCAGGGCACATTCGTAGATTGCAGGTTCGATCCACAGTTGGAGCGCATATGGAAGGTAACCGATCCATAATCAGTGTTTCTCTCCCCCGCCTCCCTTTTCCTTCCTTTCTAAAATAAATTTTAAAAAAACATACCCTCCGGTGAGGATTCAGAAAAATCATAGATTTATTTATTTTTAGTAAAATGAGTTGATTAATAACAAAAAATGATAGTACACATTCCTTATTCAAGGCTCTTTTGGTTTCAGAGCACAGAAGCCCATTGAAGCTAGTTCACTTACAAGGATGGAGGAGGTTCTGTAAAGATACAGACAGGTCTCAGGCTCCTGGGAATGCTGGGCAGCCAGGCCTCAGGACCACCGCTCTTACTCCCTCTCATGTCTCATCTCAGAGCTTTGCTGTTTTTCATTCTAACAGTATCTTTTGCAACAGTTTTGTTCTAGTCCTTTTATGGTTTCATTTTTTTATATTTAACTCTTTAACCTATGTAGAGTTTATTTTGGCATGTGGGCATGCAGTAGAGATATAACTATTTATTTTCTCAAATAGTTAGCTGATTGTCTCAGCATTACTTATCAAATAATCTTAATCCTCTTGAGGCACTGTCTGTTAGATTGATGGGGCTGCCTGGCATGCCATGTGGGGAGAGATTGAAAGCCATGCCTGCGCTCGGCAGGAAAGCTTGCTAGTTAGTGATGTCTGCAGTGATCGTGCCGTGGGCAGGTACACATGCTACCCGTCTGCCACTGGAGGAATGCCCTGACCTTGCCTTATTGATTTGAAATGTATTGTGTTTTTTTATATACTTAATTTTTTTTTATATTCTGTGATCTCATTCTCGATTTTCTATTGTATTCTATTTGAGTATTTCGTAACATACCACACTTTATTGTACCTATAACATTTAACATGTGACAACTCAAGTGGACTACTCAATAAAAATCTGAAAAATAACAGGCGGGTATAGTTACTTATTTCTCCAGATAAGATTTGGAATGATTTTATCATTCTTTGAAAAAATCCTTTGGGATTTTTATTAAAATTGTATTAAACCCATAAATTAATATGAACAAAACTAATGTCTTTGTAATATCTTCCCCGGTCATTCTGCCAGAAATCTGGACCTCACTCATCTATGTTCCAATCATGTGGGAAGGGCTATAGGATGTTCAGATTGGCCAGGCTTATATCAGGTACTCACCTTGGAGCCAGGGAACAGGGCAACCTCTCCTGGTTCTAGATGGACTGACAGTGGGGGTTTCTCAAAGGATAATCACGGTAATGTTACCAGAAGGAGGAGGAATGGATGCTAGGCAGACCTAAACAGCACATGTCCACTATGATGTTCTTAAAACATCAGGAGACAGAATTAGAGATTAAATGAGAAACTACCATGTTAAGACATATAGAAACTTTATAGACAGCTGTAAAAGGAAAGCAAGAAGAATAAATTAGCTTGAATACAGCTGAGCTAGAACTTTTCAAAAATTCTTGACACTCCAAAGTTATTCCCAGCATTTATTTTAGTACATTTTGAACATCACATTTATATGAATTTCAAGCAACTTTGCAAGTATGCATTATGATTATCATTTTATAACTAGAACAACATAAATATGGAGAGCTCACAGGTAGGCCTTAAAATTAGATTGGGATAGAGAAGAAGCATTGTCTATCAAAATAGACATCCACAATTTTTTCAGTAAGAATTATTTTGGTTGCAGACACCCAAAC